AGCGTGTTGTAGGCAGGTACCTGGGGGGGAACCGCAGCGCGAAGCTGCAGGTGTCCGGGTCCTGCCCCAGGCACCTGCTGAGGCCAGAAAAACAACCACAAACGAGTGAGGAAAGGGTCAGAGCGGAGAAAAATTGGTTTGAGGTTTTCCCGTTGGATTTTTTTTTTTGTTCCTGCTCTGTCCCCTTTACACACCCTCCACATCCCATTCCTTCCCCAGGAGACCACCAGCGTTTGGTGCCAAAATCGAGCATGAGAAGAGGGAGCACTCCGCTCGCCCCAGAGCGGGGCTGGGCGAAGCGAGCAGCCCAGTGCTCATCCCGTTTCCAGGCACTGGGAGCGTGGGGACAGAGGGGACAGCAGCAGATGGCACTCCAGCACAAGCGGAGAGTCGTGCCGCAGCCAGCCCGTCAGCAGCTCGGAATTATTTTTGCCTGAATAGCGCAGGAGAAGCGGAGCTGTTCAGGCTCTCAGTCCTTGAAGGAAGATGTATAATCTTGAGCCATAAGATGCGTCTATAGGACCTTGATTTACATGCTTCGGATGTCCCTCTCTGCTCGCAGGTCCAGATTGTATCTCTGCTTGTGCAGATTTGTCCTTACACAGTGTCTGGACTTGAGATGATAAAGAAAAAGTGTTACTTTTCACTTGCAGAGGCTGACCCCTAATTTGCTTGGAATTTTTTTCTGTGGCTGTGGCGTGCCTTTCCACACGGAGCTACCCCACTGCACAGAAGCAAGAATTTTTTTTTTTTTTTTTTTTCCAAATCAGATAATTTTTTTTTACCTCTAGCCAAAAATGAAGTGAGCTTATTGTGCTCGCACTGAAAACTGGACTTTTAGGTGTGGATACTGAAGAACCACAGGTCAGTGTGCTTTTTTAAAAAAAAGCAACAGCCTGACAAGAACGAATGAGTCAGGAAAAAATGGTGTTGTTGAGATGCTGCAGACACAATGCATTAAGTGTTTTTATTTTGTTTAATTAGCAATAAATTCAAACCTTATTTTCATATTTCCGAGCCCATTTGTATTTTAGACAGAGTGCAAGCTGAACGTATATCATTACTCTGATGTAGGCAGAACTGGCACTTTCAGGAGCCTTTTGGTAGGCGAAGGATGCCATATATCACGACTGTAATCTCACTTTGCTTTTTAAGACCCAACAAGAATAATTCTCCTGTTCTCACTGCTGAGGGAGAAGGAACTGGGGACTCGCAGGGGCCGAGTTCTGCCTCTCCTGGTTTTCCCGAGGAGCCCCGTGCTCGGGGAGCAGTGCCGGGAGCGGGCAGGGGGAGAGTCGTCTGTCGGGACCCGTCGTACAGCCGAGGGCTCAGACATTGCTGGTGTAAAGTCAGGTGGAGTAAATGAGGTGTGAAGTCACGGGTGCTGTGCTGGCTTGTCCTGGCTACTGCCTCAGCCCAGGATTTTAAATGCATGCTGCATACTGACTGTAACTGTGGACGTTTTTGTGTTTGGAAGTATATTTTGGCACCTGATAAAGACAGTGCGATCCCAGGGCCCTCTCCTTTTCCTTCTCTCCCTCCTCCCAAAGGCAGCGAGCGCCGTGTACAGACCGACCTTGAGAGCTTTGTGGTAACAGGCACAGAATGCGGCAAACTGGAGGATAAAGTGTCTTGCAAAACAAGAAGTTTGGCCCTTGCGCGGATCTGAGTCAGGAATTGGGAACCTGTGGTGATGTTCATGCAGGCACACCTGTCTGAGGGCTCTTTTTACTTCCCGTATTGCTCTACGATGCTCCACTCCCCGGGAATTTCTGATTTTCCTCCCTTAGTTGTCTTTGCTTGATGCAAACTTGTGTTCCCAGCGGTGCTTTGGGATTCTCCAGGCTGGGGCTGGGGGTGTGCCGGGCATGCCCGGAGGCCCCTGGTTGAAGAGCGTTGGCTCCTCTCGGTCTCGCAGGGAGCGATCCCCTCGTTGTCCGGGTGCTCTTGCTGTCACTGCAGCTGAGCTTTCCTGCCCGCAAGCCCTGGCCCCACACTCAGACCACACTCATCCTCCTCTGCACCCCTGGGAGAGCTGCCAGTATCCACCGTGATGGCATGAGACCCCCCCCCAGCTCCATGGCTCGCTCCCCTTTTGCCCTTGGCCAAGACACCCGGGATGGGTTTGCCCAGGAACGGTGAGGAAGCGCTTGTCCTCTGCTGCACATCCCAGCCCAAGGCCGTGTGTTCCTGAACGTGCCCCCACTATTGAAAAGGGGGAGAAAATAACAACTTCTGAGCCCCCACTGCTGTGGTGTGTGAGACCCATATAAACACGTGGATTTTTGTTAGCAGCTTGACCTCTTGGGCAGCATTCTTGCTCTGCAGCGAAGAGATGCCCTCTCTCTTCCACTTGTCTGACTCCTGGGTAATAGAAGGGCTAAATGCTTATTACTTTTTTGTAGCCTTTTCCAGCTGCCAATCAAACATGTCTGGTTTGGGGTTTTGTTTTGTTTCTTTGTTGCTGTGACTATGCAGGATGCTCTATCTCGCTGTAATTATGGTTCCATCATTGTCTTGGCATGAAAACATCTGCTGTCTCCCTGCGATCCCCACTTCTCCTATTTCTTTTGAGAATTTCATGGATCATGATGACCTTCTATTTTCCATAACATCTTATGCATCTCAGTGTACACAGCTGTTTCTCTTGCGTTCCCCTGTCTCTCCATCCACCTCTTTTTTTTTCCTATCAGCATCTCCAGTGCATTCAGAGTTTTGGCTCATCTGCTTATCAAATCAATATCTCGCTCGCCATCTCCTCTGCGTCCCAACCGCTGTAAACACGGCACCTTTGCACCTAACTGCCCGGGCTGTTTTCTCCTCTGGGCGCAATTCATCTTCCAGCTCGTGTCTCAAGTCTTTGTTCTTCTCATTTAACATTTTAAAGTTAATTTTCCCAGCCTTTTTGTTTTGATTACGTTGTACTCTCCGGCTGTCTGGGTTTGAGGTCCGTCCCGAGCGGGCGGGCAGCGACGCGCCGTAGGATGGATGGAGGGTGTTGCCATTCAAGGTGAAGTCGCTGCTGGCCGTTAGCGACAGACAACGGCAAAGCTGGAGCGTGGCGAGGAGCGGAGCTGGGGGCCGGAGGGGGGGCTGCCACCGCTCCACCGAGGCAGCAAAGGGGCTGGAGAAATATGGGTTCGAGCACTGGTTTTGTGTGACCTTGTTTAAAGAGGACGGGGTCCACGAGCATGATGAACAGAGATACTTCAGTTTTTATTCTGTTCTGCCACCTTTTATTACTAGGACTTCACCGGTATGCCTATTCTCTTAAAAAATATTAATAAAAAAATCAGCTCTATATCTGCTGCAGATGGACTAATAAAACTCTCGAGTATGACAGGACCTTAAATCTCTTTGCATTGATACCCATCTGTGAGACGTGCATCCCCTCCTGCCTCCCTCCATCCCTCCCATCCCGCCTGCCGCCCCGATCCCGCGCAGCTCCTGGCGCGGCGGCCACCCGGCCTGGCCCAGGGCACTAGGTGATGCTGTAGCAAAACTAATCCTGGGCATATTAAAGGAGCATGGATTTTTTAATTTGATTTATTCACCCTCGACCCATGGTCCTTATACGTCTGAGCTAGAAACGTCCTATTCTTGAAAAGGCTTTGCAGAAGTTTGGCACCTGGAAGGTGTGACTGAGAAATGGCTCGCTCTGTGTTGACAGAGAAGAGGGGTGTTGGTAGAGAGCAGAAAGCAGGGTGGAGATTAATGAATCATGCAATAACTTCTTAGATGGACGGAAATAACACAGTGTGTGCATCATAGGTTTTTCCTCTTTCAGGAGTATAGCTGTTTATGCAGAGATGGCTTGTGTACTTTCTTTATACAGATATGCATTATATGTGGATGCTTGTCTATCAGTAAGGCTGTAAAATCATAGACGGAGTGATCTGGTAATCCAAAAAGTTATGTGGCTGTTAATGGCTACCTGATTCAGAAGGAAAAACACTCCGGTGAAGGTGCCAAGCAATGTGCTTGGTAGGGATTCAGCACGCCGTGTCCTCGCCCGGGCAGAGCGTTCCCGACGGCCTTGGAAAGTCCTGGCAAGACCGACCGGCTGCTCGTAGGAAGGTGTGTAATGGGGCGAGTCCCACGATTTGAGGGTGGGATTCGGGGGGTGGTCAACCCAAAGGCTGAGAGGGCCGCTGAACCCAGCGTCCTGCCGGAGGCTTTGCTCCTTCCCCTGGTGCAGGGCCCGGGGCTGGGCGCGCTGCGGTAGCGCAGGGGGGAACAAGGTTTACAGACCCCAGGGTCGGCCGGGGGCCGGGCTGGCTGTGCAGCGCCCTGCGGTTCCGCTCTGGAAGCGGATAAGGAGCCCCGGGGCAGCGGCCTGCGTGGCCGGACGGCCGGAATTCCCTGCGGTGGCCTCTGCCCAGAGGGATGCTGGTGGCAGCTCCACGGCTCGCAGGAGGCTCCTCGGGAGCCTCTCAGTGCCAGCCAGCGTGCAACACGGGACGCCGGCCGGCAAAACCAGCCGTCTGCCCCAAAGCGAGGGCTGGAGCTGGTTTCTGCCCTCGCCTCCCCCCTGGCTGTGCTGCCTGGTGCGGAGGGAAGTCGTTTCGCCGCTCCGGGCCCCCGGTGAAGGGGTGCAGTGGCAGCGGGCACCTTTGGCTGCTGCTTTTGTCCCTGTGAAGGGCAAAACGCAGCAGGGAAGTACAGCGGCCGCCCAGCTCCAAAAAGCGGGGCTGGGGTGTTGGGCCAAGTGTTGATCTGGAATGGGCCAAACCAGAGCCAAACGAATGGAAATCGATTAGGGAATAAATGTTATGGGAAACAATCTCCGTCACTTAATGTACTCCAATGACTTTGAAATATCCAGATGAGCCAAACACTCTTCTCCCTGTTTCTTTTTGTATACTTGTGACCTTTCAGAGACCCGATTGCCCATTCGTCCCTTCCCCTTTACCTCTTGGGTCCCCTCTCTCCCAAATTTCTACTGGAGTTTGTATTTTTCCCCCAACAACATCTCTGAAGAATCACAAATGTGTAATATGTGTCCCAACGCTTGTATTTTAATAGCGTGAAGCAAACCACATCAGCACAGGCAATTTCACATTCAACACATTATTGCTATTTAAAGCGCAGAGGTATAAAAATGATTGGCAATCCAGCTCTCCCAGAAATCGCAGGCTGCTGCTGGCTGCCAGATTGTGATTTTTTAATATTGGCTGCTCTGTGCAGTCGTTCCCTCACCTTTGACTTGCAGATTTCCCGACGTTGAAATAGCAAAATCATTTTTGGTTGTAACAGGCACATTGCTTGCTGCTGAAAAGAAGTAATTATCATTAAATATATACATGTGTGTATATACACAGACACATCCATCCATCCAGGGCTGAGTGGCCGGTCAGTTTTTCCAGCTGAGCAACCTTTTGCATTTCCCCAGCTTTGCAAATACATTTTACCAGAGCTTCTTGGTTTTGGAGGGGAGTTGGGGGTAGATGGGCAGGTGAGATATTCTTTTGTCTCTCTCTCTCTTACCATTATGGAAGAGGGAGGGCGAGCAGGCTTCATCCCGGAGATGGTGATATACGAGGGCTCGTGATTTTCTTTTTCTCAGGGCTGTAATAGAGATTTCTCAGTGAGCCGAAAGGTGTTAGTTGTGTCAGCACTGTTTACATAAATATGTTGTTCTGGGTTAATGTACAGTGTGATTAAAGATTAGACCTTTATGATTTTCTGTTGAAGGCGGCCTTATTCTGGTTACATTTAAGTATGAAGTGACAGAAAAGTAGCCATTCTTACATGAAAATAAGACTTTTTCTGTACTGGAAATAACAGCCCTGCAATTTTTTTCTGTATGCCATATAAAATCTGGTGAATGCAACACAGGTGGGTAGTGTTTTTCCTGATGTTGCTTTCCGAGGTCCCTACTCCCTGGCCTGCCGCAGGGCGTCCTGTAGCTGGCTGGCTGGAGGAAGGCAGGAGCATCCTCATCCTCGCCTCTGCTCAAGGGGCTCTGCGGGGAGAGGGAGCCGCCGCGCTCCTGGGTGGGGGGGGGGATGGCAGAGCTCGGGGGGCACCCCTCGGCCTTCCACGCCGCCGTCTTCCTCGCGCAGAGCGATGGAGAGGCTGGGGCAGAGCCGGCGGCCGTGACGTGGGGAAGGCTTTGCCGTGGGGTCGGCTTCTGCCCCCCCGCAGCAGGATCAGGCCTCCGCTCCCCGCCGGGAGGGTCTGCCTGGCCCGTGGTGCTGCTCCAGCCCCGGGGACTCTCCCGGAGTCCCTGCCTCCCGCGGGCACGTCGCTCGCTGCCGGCGGGGCTGGGACGGACCTAACGCAGCACAGCGACATTCACCAGCAGCCTTCCTCTTTGCTAAAATTAGCTTTTCCCCTCTTTGCTAAAATTAGCTTTTCCCCTCTTGCTCCCCATAAGCAGCGGAGGGCCAGCGGGCCGAATCCTCCAGCTCCAGGGGGGATTTACTCCACTGATGCCCGAGCCCTGTCCCTGCCCGTGGCTCACAGCCCCCAAACACCTCGCCGGCCCCCCCTGCGCTGTGGTCCCAGCCCCGGGACACGCGGGTGGCTCCCACCCCGCACCCCGAGTTGCCTTTTTTGGGGCCGGGCGAGCTCTTTCTCGCTTGCTGCCGGCCCCTCTGCGCGTTGCGGTGCCGGTTTGCCGTCTTCATGCCATCTACGCCGGGCTCGTTAAACCAATTAATTGTTGGTGTGAGCAGAGCTGCCGTGTGCGCTCCGGGGGTGCCGAAGCAGGCCGGGTGTGCAGCTGTGCCGGGGCTGCGGGGAAGGGGAAATCTTTTGGGGCAGCTTGGAGGAATTTTGGTGTCTTGCAAAGACGCGGGGCGTGCAAAAGGTCTGCCCTTGGAGGGAGGGCAGGGCCAGCCAGGGAGCGGGGGGCAGCGCTTTGTTACCATATTTACATTTCTACTGGCCCAACGTGAAGCATTTGGCTCTCCTCCACTTGCGGAAGGGATTAGCTACTTCATAACATCCAGACAAGATAATCTCTCCAATTTTGCCTGGAAGAAGTCCCTGACAAAGAGCAGCAAAGCTACGATAATGCCAGATGAAACAGTAATTGAGTTTGCCTTCTTATTACTTTCTCGGCTAAGTTTGTGTTGGTTTTAATTGTATTTTTTTGTTGTTGTAGATACGGAACAGCTAAATACAGTCCCTGTATTGATTCAAACCAGCAGTGTTATATCTATAGTAAACCGCAGCGATACAAGGAGGTGAGCAAAAGAGAGGGAGGGAGTAACTGTAAAAAGTTTTTAGAACTTCCGTGCATTTTAAAAAAAAAAAGAGATAAAGCTTTGATAATTGCTGCTGCCTATCACCTGCTCCTTCGAGGGATTTATATTAACAGCGGGACTGTAATCACACTCGTGTCCATCAGGTGCAGGGGGGTGCCGGGCAGGGGAGGGACACGCCGCGGTCCCGTGCCCTTTGCTGCCCAGAGCCGCTCGGCTGCGTGCCGAGGGGTGGCCCGCTGCCGGGACCGGGACCCAGGGACTCAGCAAGGGACACACAGCACAAGGAGTTCGGCGTCTGGGTGGGGAATCTGGGTGTAAATGAACCTTAGGCTTGTAAGTTTTTCTGAATTTTGGCTTCAACCTACTTTTGGCAGCTGGGGGGGGCGGGTCCTGAGGACGTTTGTGAGGCTGTGATCCCTGCAGTACTCATTCTTTGGATAAACTGCAGACATGAGTCACCTGGGCTGCCGGCATGCATGAAGTAAAATGTGAAGAAACCCTAGAGGGTTTCCATTGGCTTCAGTTTCTTCCCGAAACTGTTTTCACCATTTAAGTAGCATGGCACGGTAAAGCCTGTGGAGTATTCTCCAGGAATTGCGTCTGTCCTCCAGAGACCTGAAAACAGTCCCACTGGTCCCAGCTGGGTACCCAAAGGGAAATAAACCCGAGTTTCAAAATAAACAGCGCAAGCTTCCAAAAGTTTTTGAAAATAATAAATTAAAATGTACTGGCTGTCCTAAACACGTTCTTGCTAGTGGACGTTCAGGTGGTGAGAGGCTAACGTTACGTGACGAGTGATGCATCAGTGGAGCAATGCTGCTCTGATGATGCATTACACTAATACATCCTGAGAGCGACAGAGCTGTAGTGATGTATTACTCCAAAATGGCCTCAGTCAGGAAGAACAAGTCCAGGAGACCCTGTCCACCCCACCACAGTGTTGCCCAAATTTTCCATGGTTTTTCTTTCCCTTGAAAGAGCGTCCTGATAAGGAATAGCATGAAGAGTAGCCGCTGAGGATCCTGGTGGGCTTCCAGGCGTGGTTCCCGAAGGGTGCAGAGATTTTGATTTGGAAAGGTGCAGCTGAAATGCTCTCCAGCACCAGCTAAGCAAACGTCACCTTCCGGAGTGCCTCCGCAAGCGACTCGGCACCAGCTCTGCTGGAAACGCTGGCGGCTGGGGTCTGGGCACAGCTGGGGGCTCAGCCCAGCGAGCCCCGAGAGCACCCAGTCCTGCAAAATCGGGTAAACAATGTCGCATGCAGGAGATGGTTGCCAGTACCATGTTATCCCACCAATATTTTCAGCATAACATAAGAGGCTGCAGTCAATCCTGGCCTCCAAGCAAAACATGTCATCCTTATTTCCTTTCTCTGCTCGCTAAGTAATAACCTCGTATATTTTTAAAGGGATTGTCCTTTGGATTCTTTTTATTTGTCATCTAGTATCAAAGCTTTAAAGGTCACATTTTTCAAGTTCTTCCCTTAAAGCTTCAAAGACTATACATTTACTTTAAACAAAAAGAAAAGAAAAAAGCCAGCAATTTTAGAAAACCACTCCACACCCAGGGACTCAGGAAAGCTCTAAATATCACCGCCAAAGCTCGATGCTCCCAGCTCAGCTTAAAAGCAGCTTGATTTTGCTTAGCTATAACCAGTTCATAAGTGTATTTAAAAATTGCATATCTGTAGTTGTGTCTGTTCAAAAACAAGATACCAAACCCAAGTGCTAAACTCTCAGTTCTTATTTCAGTTAGTTAAATATATAACTAACCCTGTGCCAGCCAGGTTTAAACTAATTCAGAAAAAACTTGCATAGAAAATCCCGTGGCTGACCTGGGTCTGAATCACTTTTGCTTCACTAAGTGTGACTCCAGACCTGGGCTGCAGCCGAGCGTCCAGCTCCTCGTGCGGGATCCGTGCGCTGCGGGGCTGGCGGACACGACCTGCGTCGGGGGTAAATACACAGTCCTGTTCCAGTTGAATTAGGGTGTGCGTGGATCCTGCCCAGGCTGTGGAAAAGCAAGGTTGCACCCAGCGTGGCACAGCATCTGCCGAGACAAGGTCATGCATACACAGTGCTCTGAACTTTTACTGGGCAGAGTGGATTTTGTACTGGTGTGGGTTTTTGGAGGCACAGGGCTGTAGCGTTTCTGGTCCAACACTGGGAGCTCTCGACCTGGCTCCCACATTCGTAGCTGAACTGCTTTAAGACAGGTTTTGAAAGTCTCCCTCTCCCAGGGCGCAGCAGCCGGGGTCCCGGCTCGCCCCAGCTCCAGGCCCCATCACCACACCGTGACACGAACCGGGACGGGGGGACGTAATCCCAGGGCTGCCGCGTTCTGCCGGAACGCACGGCAGCGCATCGACGCCGGTCTGATCTGGCCACGTGCCCCCTCCAGAACACACGAGACCTCCTCTGGCACGAAGTCAGAGGGGAGGGAGGTGATGCCCGATCCAGCCAAGAGCCTTCAGTCTGAAATGAGCCTATCAAAGTAATTTGTGTAAGTACAAAGTGGCAGAGTGTCTTTATTACAGGGTGGTGCTCCACCTGTGATCGCAGCATTTCTTGATTTCGTATCTGGGGTCTGAAAACTGGGTTTGCTGTGTTGTCAGCTGTGGCTCATGCAGGCTTTTATGCATCTTTAAGTGTGACTATTAAGCCACCACATGGCAGGTGGATGATGCAGGAAGAGAAAGGAAGCACCCAAAGATTTGGACCTGGCTCCAAATGACCAACAGGAGCGCTATTATAGATCCTGTCACCCAAAATCTCTTTTAGGTCTTACTTTCCTGACGAAGCCTGTTCAAATTATTTGCATAGCTTGATCTTAACATCGATGAAAACTCCAGCTGAACTTTGGCCAAGAAGGGACAGGTATGTCAGGACCAGTTGCCTAATTACGTTTACATCTAAATTGCTGCAGTAGATCTTCACTTCCTCAAAAGTGATTTTCCTTTGCTCTTTAATTTCATAGAACAATATGAAAGACATGAATCTTCCTGAAACTGCTCTCCTAACGCAGCAGAGACTCCACAGTATTTGCAGCCTTGGCTTTTTATCACAAGAAGTCCCGAGGGGGGTTCAAGGTAGGATCCTTGCCACCTCGGCTCAGCAATCACAGAAAGCCAAATAAATAAAGTAGGAAGTCAGCAAAGCCCTGATTCAGCAAAGGCACAAGCACAAGTTCAGTGTTAACCTCCGCTTAAGATCATTTGGAACAAAAGAGTCATGTCTGCCCACAAGCCAGACCAGGAATCCAGGAACTTGACGGTCAGCACATCAGTGTTTTAAATCTAAGGGGAGAGGATGCTTAAAGATAAGGAGTTTCTGAAATGTGGGAAAATAATGCTCTCTGGTATGAGGACATCTCTCGGTGATAACTAACTCAGAGATGTTTTTTTGGTCCGTGGCCAGGTGTGGTGGTCTGGCACGATTTTGGCCAAGGCACGGGTGCCCTGGGGGAGGATGACATTCGGGCGGCAGCGTGCGCGGGTGGACGAGGTCCGGAGGAGGCTGCCGTGGGGGCCCGGTGACGACTCCTCACTC